TCATTATTCATTCAAGTTCAATATATAATCAGGAATAGGCTTTGTCCCATATACATAACACACATCCAATCTCATATGGATCTACCAGGTCATTTAGCAAAAGGTAATGCAGAAATTGATTATTGATTGGAAATGTGCTGAACACCTCAGAATTTCATAAAGAACATCATGTCAGTAGCAAAGGTTTAAAGAAAGAGTTTTCTATTTCATGGCAACAAACTAAGGAGATTATAAAGAGATGTCCTATTTACTCTTTCTATAGCCAAATACCACTACCTGCAGGGAGTAACCCAAAGGGTACTCAAAGGAATAAAATCCGGCAGATGTATGTGTTCTACTTTGCAGAATTTGAAAATTAAAAATGTACACCACACTATTGACACTTATTCAGGTTTTCAGTGGCAACTGCTTTGAGTTCAGAAAAGGCTGATTCAGTAATCACACTTTATTAAAAGTTATGACCATTGTGGATATATGTGTACAAATAAAGACATAATCATCTCTCATATGTCTATAAGAAAATAAAACAGTTTTTGCATATTATAATATATAATCATAATAGAGGTATACCAAATAATCCTACAGGTCAGGCAGTTATAGATAGAGCAAACCTAACTATAAAAGATATGTTAAACAAACTGAAAGGGGATGGAAAATACCCCAGAAATATATAGTATAATGCTTTATTAACCCTCAGTTTTCTAAATGCTAATGAGAAAGGAATAACGGCAGCAGAAAGACATTGGATAATAGAGAAAACTTCTGAATCAAAGATGTGTTGACTTCACAATGGAAACTAGAAGATGTGCTATGTTGGTGAAGGGATTTTGCTCCTGTTTCCACAGGAGATGAAAAGGTATGGATACCGTCAAAATTAATAAAGATTTTATTTGAAAAAGAGAAACCTATTGATAAAGAGAATTGAAAGTTCATCCACAGATGTGACAATCATACAGGTGTCGAGGAAATTTCATAAGGGTTGGGGCAGGGATTTGTTCTTGTCTTTGCAGGAAAATACTCATCCTCAGAAAGTCAAGAGACCCTGGACATTTAGATGCCTAAAGAAGAAGAGATAAGTATCCAGAAAGGATCACTAAGCAAAGAGAAATAAGATTTATGAGGACAGGTCATCAGCAGGGTAAAATTTTATTACCTGAACATGAAGATATCACTACTTAAAAATCAAAACTGGCTTTGAAGTTGAACAACGGCTATCCTTCTCTAAATCCAAGCATGTTATTTAAGGAAAACTTCAGAGTTGCTGTTTCGTGTCAGGAGCCATCTGGTATGGGACAGAAAGAAGAAAGAATTTAGGAAAAATTTTACTTTTCTCCATACTTATGTTTGTCTCTATCGTACCTTTTATTGAACATATGTCTACATGAATAATGTTTAAGTTTTCCATAATGAACAATAAATTTTCCTGCAGTAATCTGTGAAGTTTCCAGGAAGAAGATGGGGCCCCACAACAATTATTTCACCTGGTTGATATTCATCATGATGCTGATAGCACTACTTAAGATTGGTTTTGGCTACCAGCTGCTCAAAACGATTCCAACTTGGTTAGCTGAAATGGTGCACCTTCTGACAACGTTTTGGCCAGAACTTCAAATAAGAATATCAAAAAAAAAAACCCTACTGAATATTCAGAAACTATTTGCAATTATATCAGACAGTAATCTTGAAACTTAACCATCATTTAGTATTGCAGGATCCCATAGTAAGAACATCGTCCCCATGACAGCTGGAAGCAATTCTAGAAGATGACATCCCCTCTCCCAACCAAGTTTATCCTCAGGGTTAGGGACATCAATTACAGGCTGATTATGACTGGTATAGGGTTGGGAGTTGAGGTGGAAATTATATAGGCTCAGGGATCTTTGAAAAAAAGGGTGGGAATTGGATGGGATAATAGGTAGATTAGTGTGTACATACTCACACTAATAATAGTGAATAATAGAGTGAATACTTGTGAGCTATTATTTATAGACAATTTACATTGATATAGATTCTTGTATATTGATACAAATTCAAATTATATTTATCATATTGAATATGCACCTATTTCTGTTTCCAATATTTGTACACCCAGGCAAAGTTATTTTGTCGTATTGTATGCATGCATACTTTTACCTCTGCTTAAGAAATTTTGTATATTGATACAATTTTAGAATATATTTATCGTATTGCACTATACATTATACCTCTGATCAATAAACTTATACATTGTTTACATTTTGAGGTCATTGTCCTCATTTGCTGCACAGTTGTTTAAAGATTGTTTAATATTCTAATATGAGGCCTTCCTCTTTAAGCTATATAGGTAATAAGGTAGTAAGAACTATAGGTCAGTAGTCATACATGTTTGTCATACTTATAGTTAGACTAATCAAGTTCTTTAAATACATAGAGATTGTATTTTGTATAGATAGGTAATCTTCAACCACTTCAAAGAACTTTAGAACATTGCATTTAAGTAACTTAGATTTCTGTTGACATGAGACACAATTGCTCCTGGCAGTACCCATCTATTCCTGAGAAAATGTTGGGCACCGAAGACACTCTATTTGTAGCATGTTTTCTTCTTGGCAAAGCAGACCTTTGGGCAAAGAACTGCCCATGCCTCGACCACTGACAAAAGACCGTCAAACCTTGCCAAGACAGGGTAAGACAGTTCTGAAAATTTTCCTTACTCTGAAAATGGTCTATCAGTTACTCTAGGCCTTAGCCAAAGTTGGTTGCCCCAACATTGTAAATGAGAATTTGGGTGATTGCCCAGGTAGCCAGTGTTGTTACACTAACTGTTGGCAGAGGCTGCTTGTTCATTTCCTAGCCTCCCAGACCCAAAATAACCACACAGAAACTGTATGAATTGAAACATTGCTTGGCCAATCACTTAAGCATATTGCTAGCTAGCTCTTATATCTTAAATTAACCTGTTTCTATTATTTTATATTTTACCACAAGGCTCGTGGTTTACCAGTACCAGTGCCACAGGCATCTTTCTCCTATGACAGCTACATGGTATCTGCCTGACTATATTTTGCCCTGCTATAGGCCCAAAGCAGATTCTTTATTTACAAGATACATATGGGTTTTCATGATAAATTATAGCCATCTGAGTGGTTAGTTTGTTTTTAGGAGAGCTATAGCAATATATATATATATATATGTATATATATATATATATATGTAAATATAATACTAACCTCTGTCTTAAAGTTTTATGCTTTTAAAATAAAATTGACATTGTTATCAAACTATAACATGTAAATATATTTTATCCAGTACTTTACTTAGCATGTTGATTTAGTATTACCTTGGATGTGAGGAGTTCAGAATTCCAAGTTGCTTATTAGCAAATGTTTGTTATAAATGCCTCCTGCTGACATGAGGCTGCAATGTGCTTGTTTATTTCTAGAGTTACAAAATAATAAAATGTGTTTTATATTATTGCATTCGTCACTTTTTACATCAATGGGATCAAAATAGCTGATAGAAACTTTCATTATTTGTTTCCGTTCATGATTGTAGAGTTTAGTTTGTTGTAGTTGGGAAGCATGGCAGAGTGGCTTCATCCACAGCAGCAGAGCAGGAGGCCAAGACTATTCACACCAGCCCTATTCATGCCAGGAAGGAGAGAGTGGACGGGAACCCATGTTTGGAGTGTAACCATCAAAGGCCTTCCCCTAGTGACCCACCTCTTCCAGCTAGGCTCCACGTCCCCAACATTCTGTAGTCAAATACCTTTCAGAGGTCAGGTCATGAGTGAGAGTGATGGCACCGCAGGACAGATGGAAGACATAGGAGAAGCAGTCTTTGTACTGTGCCTGGAGCACAGCAGTTGTAAAGCAATCCAGTCCTCTCCTTTTGTGGGTCACCCCTGCCATCGCTGTGTTCTCTGGAAAAGCACGAACTGTTAACCTCCATTTTTGTGCAGCATAGAGGCCAAAAGTTGCCAGTAGATGTTGAGTGTTTAGCAGTTAATTTCAAACATGCTTTCTCCTAGTGTCTGGACAACTTGAAGGATCAGGGATGGTTCAGGAGTGCTTTGGCACACACATGTTATTGTTTTGGTTTTTTACTTGGTTTTGTTTTTGAGACAAGGTCTCACATAGTTCAAGTTATCCTTGAAATCTCTTCTGGTGCTGGAGAATGGCCTTGAACTTCTGATTCTCCTGCCTCCCTGTCCTCTAATGGCTGGCTCTACAGGCATGGTCCACAACACTCAGTTTATGAGGTCCTGTGTGCTAAATCTGAGGCTATGTATTGTATTCCCACCCCAGGTCTGAGTTATTTCTTAGTGCCACCTGCAGGCCGCATGGCTACAATCCCACAAGTACTGGCAAATAAGCCCAAAAAGAGGGTTCACTGGACCAGGGGCTGAGTTACTAGCATAGCCCTCTCTCTTAGGCCTTTTATCCCTTTTATCCCAGTTTTGTTTACAGTTTGCATTTGTTCTTAAAGACCCTCAGATAATTGATAGAGTGGACAAAGCCTGTATCCACTGCTCTTGGACCAGCCTACATAAAGAGATAGCCGTCTATCTGTAAAAGGGTCAGGCGACCAGTAGCGATAATCAACAACTTTGGTGATTTAGTAGCGATCCTGGAACATAATGTGTCCTTGACTGCGTACTAACTCTGTGTACCTAAGGAAAAGGAGTAGCAAGTGAAATGCTGAAAGCTGTAGGCTGTGGTCATGACTTACCTAATGAGTCAAACAACAATCTCTGGCAGGTTTGACTCTTGTGTTAACTATGAAGTTCCTAAGTATGTTAAAATAGTCACCAACACACAAGTTGCAAAGCAACATTACAAGCTTATAATGGTAAAAATAATATCAGAAATATTGTAGGTATAAATATGATTATAAACAAATTGAAGACTTCAGGAATGCCACAGAAGACTTTTGTTTTGGTCAAAGTGGTTCCGTAATATTTGACATTTTACTTTTTAAAGACATTAATTCCATTTTCTTTTCTTTATCCCTTTATCTAGATCCATATCCAGAGAACGGAAGGATGTGACCATATGACTTGTTCACAATGTAACACTAATTTCTGTTATCGATGTGGAGAGAGATACCGCCAGCTCCGGTTTTTTGGAGACCACACATCAAACCTCAGTATATTTGGATGCAAATATCGCTACCTCCCAGAGAGACCTCATTTAAGAAGATTAGTTCGAGGGTCAGTCTGTGGTGAGTAGTATCACACACGCTTGCTCTTGGGTATCTTCCTTAGGACCTGAGGTAGAAGTGTCCCAGCCTTGAGAATTCACAGTGCTTGCTGTTGCCAAGAATTCTAGTAGAACCAAAAGCTAGGAAGAGAATCACTCCTTTTGTGATCAAAAATGAAAAGTTAAGTCTGTTAATATGACACTCTTTCGAGACCAGCACTTCTGAAACACTGAATGAGAACCAATTGATGACAAGGAGAATGTCATATTTATTTTTATATGGACATTAACAGGTGTCATAAACACATGGTTGCTCAATTGATTCATTAAATAAACACAATACAGCACAAAACAGGGAAGAATGATGAAAAAGTATACACACATCCCAGAGCCCAATAACAGCATTGTATAATATCTATAGAAATGATATTGTCATGTATCTTTGTTATTAGTAATCAACAACTAATCAGATAATGGTATTAGTATGAAGGCTCCCATAAGCCCAAGTCTAGGTACCCAAGTGTACCTAGACTGCTTTGTGAATAGTCTTTAACCCTCTCTTCATCAAACACACAGCCCTGTGCTCACACACATGCACAATGCAAATAGAAGCAGAAATGTTGTTCGTATCAAATCACCCTGGCCCCATGCCCTGCCTTGGTTTATACAGTTCTGCCCTCATCCTATTTCTTGCATTAGCTCCTGACCCCTGAGCCATTTGTCCTCTGTGAGATTTCTTCCTCTTCCGACTGCATGGATCTTAGAGGTTCTTTCTCTGACAGGCTTTCTCGTGTGTACCCAGCACTTTTTAAGCATCTAAACATCTTCCTTCTTGACTACCTCCTTTGCCTAGTTCATGAGAAGCGTTTGTGACTCTCCTCAGCCTCTTTGCCTGTAACTCACCTCACTCTCTGGAGTCATGATGGCTGATTCAAGAAAAGTTAGTCTTTATAATAGCTGCAGACTCTTCATTTTTAAGTATACTTGAATATGTGGAACCCTACGTCACCACTTCCTAAAACCATGCATGATCACTCTAAAACAACAACAGAACTATCTGTACCAAATTTTAATTAAACACACTTTTTCAGAGTCACTAGTTTTAATAATATCCAGTATTTTCTGACCCTTTATTTGCTTGTTAGGTGAAAATTACAATTATGAAACTAGGAGTTGCTTACTGCTTCTGTGGAGTTTGAAGATAACTAAGAAATGCAGACAGGATTTGTAAGAGTTGTCCCATGAGAGAAAGTTACGAAGTTGGGAGTTATGTCGCACCTGTAAATCTGTATACACAGAGAATGACCCCAGACACAAAGCTAATCTCTTCTGTGGCTCTTTTCTTTTCCTGTTTCAGCACCATCTTGGATTGTTTTGATTTGGGGTGTGTGTGTGTGTGTGTGTGTGTGTGTGTGTGTGTGTGTTGCCTATCTTGTATTCAGATGCATACAACACACACATCACACATGTGCATTCAATTAAGCCAAGATAAATCTGGCACTATAAGGAGCAGCTGGCTTAAAATAAGTTTCCCTCCCACACATTTTCCAGCCACCAAACACGGCTATCTAATTGGTTACGATGGTTAGTACAGTTGTCAACTTGACACAAGCCAGACACCACACCCCACTGGAGGAGTCCTACCCCTCTTATCCAACTGAAAAGGAAAATAGATTACTCAGTAGCTTACAATACTTACTCCTGCCATATGACAGGATATGAATTATAGTTCAGCCCTCACATCTATCACCCAGTCTGTATTAGCGCTTTTAAGTGCCCTTGGCCAGAGGCATAGCAAGTGCCTGCTTGTCCATCACAGCTGAGGATACAAAACTTGGTCTTCATTCCTGAGATCACATGCAGCTAGAGATCTTCAGGATGATGAGCAGCATCTTGGAAACAGCAGATTATTCAAGGAGTGGTACATTGAGTGCTTTTCAAAATTTTTAATTGCATGTATCTATTTATTCTATATATGTAAGCACTGCCATTCATGTGTATATGCCAAGGCATGAATATGGGCTTCAGAGCCCACGTGTGGAAATTAGTTTTCTCTTTCTACCGTGAGGGTTGCAGGGATCAAATGCAGATTGTTAGGGTGACAGTAAGCACCTTTACCACCTGAGCCGTCCTGTGAGCCTCCAAAATTTGAAGTCTTAAATTATAATTTTTAAAAATAATTCTTTAACTTATCTCCTCAAAGCAAACAATTAGTAGGAGTAAAAACAATGAAGTTGTCTCCAAAAATTCTTTTGAAAAATACTCAGTTTAAATAAAAGAAAGAGATAGGTAGATGACTCAGCAGTTAACAGCTCCTTCAGAGGCTCTGGGCTCAGCTCACAGCACCCACAGACCTGGGCTGAACTAGAACTGTCTGTAATTCCAGTTCCAAAGGCCCCTATTTCTTTACAAGGGAAGAAACTGTAGCAGGCATGGAAATGCACACCTGTAATCCCAGCACAGTGGAGATGGAGGCAGGATGACCAAGAGTTCAAGGTCAGATTGCACTACGTAGAGAATTAGAGACCAGTGTGAGCTATGTAGCAAGACTGTCTCAATTATTTTTTAATCAGACAGAAAGAAACTGGAAACAGAAGTAAAGAGTTCACATTAAAAATATTCACTGTCTGGGGCTGGAGAGATGGCTCAGAGGTTAAGAACACTGGCTGCTCTTCCAGAGATCCTGAGTTCAATTCCCAGCAACCATATGGTGGCTCACAACCATCTACAAGATTTGGTGCCATCTTCTGGCAGGCAGGCATACATGTAGACAGAACATTGTATACATAATAAATAAATCTTTTTTAAAAAATTCATTGTCAGAAAAATATTATAAAATGAGTTACTTTGAATTATTGATTAGTATACAATTGTCACTAATATTCAGTGTTGAGCTTTTGTAGCCTACAAAATGTATTGAAAATTTACAACAGTTTTTTAAAATAAATAAATATATATATATATATATATATATTTAACTCATGGGATGATAATGCACACAGAGAAATCTAGCATTCTGGAAGCTGAAGCAGGAAGACTGTGAGTTCAAGACCAACATGATCTATATAACCAGACCTTGTTTGAAAAGAATGGGTAGACCACTGGGCGGTGCGTGGTGGCACATATTTTTAATCCCAGCACTCGAGAGGCAGAGGCAGGTGGATGTCTGTGAGTTTGAGACCATCCTGGTCTACAGAGTGAGGTCTAGGATAACCAGAACTGCACAAAGAAACCTTGTCCTGAAAAACAGGGGTGGGGGTGGTAAGGAGTGAAAGAGGAAGGGAAGGAAGTTAATAGGATAGTAATGTGGACATTTTAAAACAGTAGGTAAAACTGTAGTGAAGCCTGATCTCAGGAGGGTAAGGCGTAGGGATTGAAAGTTCAAGTACAATAAAAGCTACCTAAAGACCCTATCTCAAAAGAATAAACAAACAAACCAGTAAATCTAGGTAGACCGTCAATGGTTACTGTGATAATATAGGATTAATAATTCTTTAAATTAAAAAAAATATTTAAACAAAATATAATTATGGATGTGAAAGAATATATTTGGCTACTGAAAATCATGTATTTAAGACAGTTGTCATTGGCCCTGGAATAAGAGAAAGCGTGCTTACTTACTCCTGTCACGGCAAGCTAAGATGCAAACTTAACTGTGTCCTACACTGTCAAGTAATTTCGCTTAAAGGACGGGTGCACGCCTGCTTGGATTCAGCCATATTTGGGAGGGAAAAGGCATTGCTGTCACTTGACAGTCGGTTCTGTTGCTAAGATGGTTACTTTAAAAGGAATTACGACAAAAAAGACTGAACCATGTGTAGGGGATGGGAAAGAAATGCAGCCTTTTAAAGTAACCTGGATACTGAATTCTATAATCTTCTACAGAGCCCTGCGGTGGACAGGCATTTGGCCAGTGACATTTAGTACTGCTTAACTAGCTTTGTCCAGACTGGGCATTGTGTTAAACTGACACAAGATCCATATATAAATTTACTAGATAGTAAACTCTATTCAGTAAAGAATATTCTTAAATTTGTTAATTAAAATTGTGTTTTTCCATATCTAGTTATCTAATTCCAAAAAGCTATTTTCAATAAATTAAAAAGTTAATTTTTTTCTTGCCAAACTCCCAACAAGTGATGGTTGATCTTTTCTCGTGTACTAATTGCTCACTACACATGACCTGTAGAATGGCGTCGCTGTGAGAGTCTCCAGTAGCTATGCAGTTGTGCTGCAGTTTTCGCGTTCCTCTAACTCTCTTTGGGGCAGTTAGTCTGTAGAGTTGTATCACATGTTCAAAGGCTGCAGCCTGGTGACAAGACATAAGTAACCGTGCTGGTTTTGTTCATCTCAGTGCCTTTCAAAGTCAAAAGGATTCCACTGGTGCCTTCTGGACTGCAGTGACATGTGACAATAGTGGTGATTATCACAGATCAGTTATTCATTCCGAAGAGCAGTTGGTTGGTGCTGCCAAGTGTGGCCTCCCTCCCAGCACCCAGCCTCCTTACAAGTGCTTCCTTTCAGAATTTGTTACAATGATTCACTTGAGAGACTTCCAACACAGCTTTTATTCAATGGTGGTTTTCTCTAGCACTTGTCTGGAGGTATCCCATTTGGAGGTCACTCTGTCAGATGGACTTAGGATTTCCCCTTTTACTCAACAAGTAAACAAAGCATTTTTCTTAGACATAGGCCCGGGCAGACACCGTCTGTGGTCCCTACCAGCTCTCCAATGTTGTGAGCTCCATAGGTTGTCCACTGCGCACTGGACTATGCTACTTCTTCCTTAAGCTTTCAACATTTTGAACATTGAAGGTGGAAGAAATCTAAAGGAAAAGTACAAAGAAAAAGTGTGCCAGGATAAAGGATTGGAATCTTTTTGGTTGTAAAGACTAAATGACTTGTAGATGTTTGGCATATGCCCAGGGCTTTGTAGCTCTGTGTACTTAAACTTCAATGGTGGATTACATGTGCCATTAATTGTTAATGCACTTCTTTAAAGAATTACTGTAAATGCTCGGAGATCAGAGCCGAGACTCTTCACGTTATTCTGGTCTTGTTTTCCAGCTGGAAAGCTCTTCATTGCGCCTCTCATCCTGGTCTTGGGATTGGCACTGGGGGCCATAGCAGTTGTAATCGGTAAGAAACACGCAACATCTGAGATTAGACTTCTCCCACGGCAGTGGAGACAATATGAGCGTGTGTATAATGGTGTGAGTCCATGAGTGAGCGTCGTTTCTTCTCTGTGCCTTGCTTTAAACGGACATGCAGCCTGGGGTGTGTAAGGTGGGAGGGACATGTTTCCAACAGGACGTTTATCAGAATCTTTAGTAGATGACCATGCATGTTAAAGGAGTAGTTCTCTGACTTAGTATGACATAGACTAGCCTGGAGAGCTGATGGAAACACACATTGCTAGATCCTCACTCAGTTTCTAACAGTCTGATGACCAGGCCCCCGGATTTATGTTTCTAAAAGGCTCTCAGATGCTGCTGATGTTGTTAGCCCGAAGGCTGCACTTTGGGTAGCGATGCCTTCGAAATTTTAACTTAAATGTTGTGGATAAAAGCTATTTTGATCATTATTCCTTATATAAGGTGGAATGCCTTTGCTGAACTAAATGGTTTTCCACAGGTAAACTTTTCTATAGGTAATGAATGTGTGGAACACTTAGAATTATGAAGTGTCTCACATTCAAGCTGTCGTAGTCAGTCAGGACTTCATACACCAGGTGTCACTATCTCAAACAGAGGGAATCAAGTCTCATTAGGATGTCAAAATTGTTAGAACGGGAACCACACGTATGTTCTTGAATAAAATATTACACTGACCAACGATGAAATGTGACTATCACAGAGTGTAAATGACAGGACTGACAATAAAGACATCAGCATAAAGCTAGCTAGCTTGCTAGGAAATACTGTTTCTCATTGGAACCGCTGTGACTGAGAGTGACAAAGGGGACAGAGAACTACAGAGATAGAACGAAGCCTTATAAAAACACATCCCACAGTATCTTTGTTTGTGAAATTTTAATAATGTCTGTTGTAAATAGTTTGCATGTAAACAAAGTTGGGAAATTTTACATATACCTCCCCACACATACACACATACACCCGTCAGCATTTCCTTCCTAATTGCCTTTATCCTTTTTAATCCCTAGGTTTATTTGTATTTCCTATATATTGCCTTTGTAAAAAACAGAGAAAGCGATCACGGACAGGTATGCACTGGTAATCTGCAGAGGATTTCACATGACATCAGCCGGTACCAGGGGGAGCTGTGCAGGATGGTCCACTGTCTGTGAGTCAGATCCTTGAAAACACCTAGAGGAACTTCTGCCATCTCGTCTCCTGTGGTTCTCTACAGGCCACAGTGCCTCTAGCTACGGTGCACTCCCAACATGGTATCCTGTCCTTTCCCGAAACAAATTGCTGCTTTTTTAAAAATGGTCACTTTCGTTAATTATAGACATTTGTATAGTAACTCTGACCTTTATGGTTCTTGGAAGAAGATATTTTGAGAACAGGGTATCCTCAGATGTGTTTTGAGGGCACCTCACAGGAGTGTTGTTTGGACTGTCTGAACCCTGTGCTTCCCTCCAGGCTGTCTGTGAGATTTGGTTTGCATAGCTTGAAGTCCTGTCTGTCTCAACAAACAAAGCCACTTTGCAGAAGATAAATCACCAAGTGCACCTGTTGTCATCTGTAACCCAAGTGGTACCATTCTTTCGTTCTTTGGATATTGTATTTGCTTTAAAAAAAAAAAATTTCAGTACCCAGAAGGGACTTAATGAAACTAAATTAATGAGAAGAACCATGAGTTACTGGTGCGTATGTGTAAGGATGTGAATGTGTGTATATAAACACGTATTAAACCAGGCTCCATAACCGTGTGCTTGTCCATTTCCATGTCTATCTTCAGAGAACCATTTAGCTCTGATGGTTCCTTTTGTGGGCCTAACTTGATAGTGTACTGAATTAAAACCAGTGTCAACAACAGGTTATTTCCATGGTAACCCTGTGTGTTTCTTGCTCTTTCTATGGCCACACACAGAGACTTCTGCGATGTCACTCCAAGATGTACCAAGCTTTGTAAACTGACAAAACTGAAGGGGTGGTTTTGGAAAGTCCCCATGTTTAAGATGCTTGATCTCTTTGGATTCCTTGGATTTGGGCATACCTTATCCTGTCAATAAAGCCCTCCTGGGATAACTTAATTTAAAAAAAAAAAAATTTTTTTTTTTGCTTTAAAGAAAACTGCTTAAATTTTTAAGTCCCATTCTGCTCATTATTTAATTACCTCCTTATTATCCTAGGTAATTCTACTTTAGGTCTAAGTTTTAAAAGATTACTTGATGCTTTACTCCTTCCCTCTTTCCTCTTTTTATTTGTCCCCAATTTTTTTTTACAAAAATAAATCCTAGTTTTGAAGAATTTTGCCTATGTTTACCACTGAGATGCATAAATTGTTGATATCTCCATACAGAGAGATAACTTGAAAACAGCTTTCTATGTACATAGTTTCATCTAAAATACAAACTGCTTTTGGAGAAAGAAACAAATGAAGAAAGTATTTTCAGGAAAATGAGGAATCTTTGAGAATAAAAAATGGAGTTTGATTAAAGAGGTCTATTTCCTTGCTTTCATCAGAACGTTGATCACAATGAAGAAGAGGCATTAAAAAGCCTGGGATTCCAGTCATTTAAACCCTTTGAGTTAGAGTTTCACCATACATTACCCTACTTACCGTAAATGTAACGACGTTGGACTTGAAGTAGTCAAACACACACTTTTGCATAACTATTTCATGGTGTTGGATGCTAGAGTGTAAGAACTTTGTATCCTTGTGTTTGACTGAAACACTCATGTCCGTGAAGGACGGTCCACGTATCAGCTAGCATGCTTGTATTCCCTCTGAACCATAGAGAGGAGCTGGACAGCGTCCCACTAAGTGGTGAGTCTCTGGCGAGAAGAGTGTGCAGTGTTTGTGGCTCTGGAATAGTCACTACACTATGGTGTGAGGTAAGGAACATGACTTGGTTTTGCAGGTTCATCTTGCGTGCCTTCAGCCATCCATCTGGCAATTGTTCACTCTCTGCTTTTGGTGTGCAAAAAGAATGAGAGCTTCTACCCCAAATACATGTTTCTGTCCTAAAAGCGCTTAATTTTTAGAAATTCATCTTTGCTGGACTTGGGCATCATTTTGACCATGTGTGAGTAGGATGAATCTGTCTGTGTATGATCTGTACGTATATCTGTATGTCATATGTAAACATGTCATGTTCATACATACCACCTGGGTGAACAGAGACATTCGGGTCTAAGATTGTCTTTATTCTTGGGTTATTGTGCCTGTTGTCTTTGGCCTACTCAGGGATTTTTATTCTATTCTTTAAATAACTTATCTTTTACAGGTATTTTTATCTGATTTGAAAACAATTCCAATATGTAAGTTACAAAGTGGTATTTGTTATGAGGAAAGATTGCTTCATCAGAGGTTAGGCGATTGCACATTGTACTGCATGGGCATCTCATTTGTAAGTGCATAGATTTAGAGAAGAAATGTATGAATTTTTCTCTTTTTAAAGACTATACACACACAAGTATATGTGTTCTTTCCATGGTAGTAACTTAAAAGTATTTGTGACTATTTTAGTCTCAATCTTTAAAAGAGTTAAAAGATTTAAAAAAAAGTATTTATATATCAGTGCCAACTTTGAATGTAGAACAATGACCCTCATGGTAAATTCTAAAAACTCCTTTACAAAGTGAAGTATACGTGTTGTGTCTTTTACTCATGGCTTGTCCTTTTATGTCACCATTGTAAATGTATGTCTGTTCCTGAAGAAAATGAAACCATATAGAATTGTAAAGTTCATGTTCCTCTGCTTACCTACTCCTTGTTTTTCTAGGGGCGCCTACTATCAGTGGTCTGATACCTGTCCTTCCACATGCTTCCTTCAAGTGTATAAATACGTGTGTATGTATGTGTGCATGTATGCCACTCGTGTGTTAATTTTCTACAAAAAATAATATCCTTTGCTGTGACTCTTTTTCATGTTTTTAAATATTAGAAAAATACCTTGCCATGAGTGTTTACATCCATTGAAAATAACTGTCTAATCTACGGTAGAGCTACATTTTAATTGGCTTGGTCTTCTGTTGAATGGGAAACAAGATAGTTTTCATTTGTCACAGGCTAAGCATTTTATGCATCCATATTTTTGTCACCTACTATGACCATTTCCATCGGATTTTGAATTTTATTTTTACAAAATATTTTTAATGAAGATTTTTAATGCATAGCCAGGCAACGAGACATAGAAATGATATATTTAAGACCATATTTGAATAAACAGTGTAGAGAGTGCCTAATTTTAAAGCAAATCATCTTTTGAAAAACTTTCTCCTATATAGATTAGCCAAATACCTTGCCAAAATTTAGAAGAGGAAAATTAATCTGTTTCAAATGAAGCTCAGATGTGATCAGCTGTCGCTGACAGTGTGGAAGATGAATCGGTTCTTGGATTGCTTACTTTTAGTCCTCAAGCCAAATGGATATTGTATGTCCATTTTCTAAAACACTCTTATGTTTGTGTGTGTCATTTATGAAAGGTGGGAGGGAAAGGAAAGGGGTCAAACTATGACACAAGCAACATCCTCTTCCCACATTTATGGTCCAGCAGTTAGCCACTTACTGTCACCTACAAAAACAGACAGAAAAACAATCAAAAAATAGTCAAACAGCAGACATGTTACAATGTGGTATCTTTTTCTGCTGTGGGATCAAGATTCAGTGGCACTACTTGGGAAATGCCTTAACTCTGGCACCATCTCTTGAGTCCCAAGATCCTGCTTGAGGTGTCTTTTAATATCACTGCCCAGATACGTGGCCCAGTGTTCCCGCAGAACACTGCTCTGCTACAGTCACTGCCTGTCCCTGATAGTTCTAACCACATTTTTGTTCACACCTCTACTAATTTTGCCCTCAGAGAAGAGTAGAAGAAAGTAGGGGGAGGAGAAAGCTCAAGCTGGTCTGAGTCTCAGTGTTTCTTTCTGGCTTCTCTCAGATTTCAGTGGATCTACCACATCTCCCCTACTGAACACATGAAACTGTTTTAACATTGGATTTTTGTGATTCCAGTTACGATGATTATAAAAAAGTTAATGGCCTAAATAACATTAGGTGGCATTCAAGGACAAAACTAAGAAAATCCATGTCATGAGCCGCTTTAGATGTAGTTGCACACAAAGCCTTAATGTGAGTCCTTCCATGTTAGCGGTTGAAGTCTGTTTCAACTCCTGTTTTATGCTATGTCTGCTATAATTGTTAGCCTTAAAATCGATGAACTTTCCAGTGTGTACCATTTAAATAATTAAGTGGTAATACAAAAGTGACTTGTGTTTTTCAGTGGCGAGAATAAAATCATGTCAGAAAATATGTTTGAATTCTTTAAAGTTGTGAGACATCGGAAGCTTAGAATTTTATGTAAAGCATTCGTAAATATATAGAACTATTCCTAATATTTTAGTCATCCTGGAAGCTTTTTTGCAACAATTTTTTACATGTAAAACTCATAGCAAATAATTATACTACATAATAATATCACTTGAATTTAAAACATTAATTCTTACTAAAAGTTTTAATTGTATTTCCATAGTTTGTGAATTCTATAAAAGAAAATATTTGTGACTAGAAATATAATAAATAAAAATAGCTGGAGCACATTTTGTTTTTCAGATTATAAATTATGTACATTTCTACAATTGTAGACACTAGCTTCCAGGATCACATATTAAAGTGTGTCTCTGCAATGATCATATCAATTAAACTAAGATACTTGTATAGAAACAGTATTATCTAAATAAAACAAGAATTCCAAACTTGAAAGGGTATTTAAGACTGTGAATGTAAGTCAATGGAACTAACGCCACTGTAACTTCCTTTGAATGTAAAGTTAAGACAGATTTCAAAGCCAAGTGCTGTATGGGATCTCTGTGCATCCATCACTCTTGACGTCTACGGCTCTCGTTGATGTTATCCAGACCCAGTGCACAGAGGCACAGTAGTGTGACACTCTTGTAATTGTCTATTTGAAGATTAACTGAAGCTTTGATATGTTACGTCTCTTCTGTGTCCTTTTACATATTGCCGGCTGTGCAAGCATGTCATCATGCATATTAGAAAATATAGATTTTCTTTTAAATAAAGAAGTGACTGGTTTGGAAATAATAGCTTAAGTGCAAAAAATATTTTGAAAAATACATGAAATATTACTAATGCCCTTTTGAGGATCAATTTTTTGTCTCTCTTGAAGACATTTCATTCATTTATTAGATTATATAAACTCATTAATAGAGAAAATATTTTTGTTTGTCAGTTTTGAGTCATATGATATTGCTCTGTTCTTGTTTGTACAGCAATACTTACATATCCCAATAACATGCACCTATTTTTTTTCCTTAGTTTCCCAGATTATTTTGTTTTTTACTTCAACAGTCCCCTTCCCTTCTCATCTTGGCCAAGTGAAGGATTTTTCTTAACCATTAGCTTCTTTTACTGTAATGCAATGAAATTCTCTGCCGAACAGTCTTTGTGACCAAACTCTAGTAATAAGTGCCATTTATCCTTACTGTTTATTAGCTGGAATGAAATGCCTGGGACATTTTTCCCAATTCTGGGTTCTAGAAAAGGAACTCTTGCTAGCTGTCTGCCAAGTAAGTCATACAAATGAGATATTAATTGGACCAGAGGGTTAATAAAACTCTAGAACCAAACTTCAGAAATTCATGGTTATCAATGGACAAAAAGCATGTAGACATTCATACCACCTGACTCAAGTACTTCATCCTTCATTCAAAATAAGTTATAGCTTTGATTATTGGTCTTTAA